GGGATTCTCAAACTCCTATGTTTACTGTTAACTGTAGCAAATTTCCTAATCTAAGGGTTGGTGTCCATGGTGAAGAACTCTTGAACCCAAACTCCTAGTTTACACCAAATCCTTCAGGCAAACTGACAATCATACAATATGTAAATGGAAGACTCATTAGCTAAGCCACATCTAGGACAACTTAGAGAGTCGATAAGGTGTTGGTTATAACGAACTTGGTTGTAGAAAGTTCTATCCCTTACCATTAACCAAACAAACATCCTCACTGTTTTTAAACTTTGTAATTTCCACACCTAACTCCAATTAGAAGTAGTAGCAAGATAACCCATATTGTGCTTCTAGAGCAATTGGAAAATAGATTTGGTTGAAGAGTCACCATTAGAAGCCCTTGCCCAAAAAAGCTCATCTTTCAACTTTACATCTGTCAGTAAAGGAATTGCTCTAACCTCATCTACAATATCCTCCGACAACAAGTTTCTCAAAGAATCTAAGTTTCATTCTCTATTTGGTGTAATGAAATCAGCAACCGGCATAGTAAGAGCTTCAAGATCAATAGGCCCTATAACAAAATTCTACAAAGAAGAATCACCCACCCACACATCATTCTAGAAATTAATGTTGACACTAAAACCAACATGCCACCTGATGCCAAGTCTAAAAACTTCCTTACACTACAATATACTTTTCTAAATTGTTGAAGCGTTTTACACTGGCTCCACATTAAACAAAGATGTCATTCAAAGGTATTTAGATTTAAAAGCCTAGCACCATAATGTTGTATCTTCGTTGATCAATCGCCACCCCAACTTGGCTACAAGAGCCCTATTATTTGTCCAGGTTGAGCGAATGTCAAGACCACCATCCTCTCTTGCAATGCAAATTGTCTCCTTGTTCATTAAGTGTGGTTTTTTTATCTGTGAATTTGAACCCGAAAGAAATTGCCTATTCAACTTATCAATGGCATCACACGTTGCCTTTGGAAGTAAAATTGATTGCATGATATGATAGGGGATGGAGGAGGTGACATTTAATTCAGGTGCACCTTTCAGCCATGTTAAGAGCGGACCATTTCCACCAAGTTAACTTTAACTGTATTTTCTCCAAGATATAACGATAATCATGAGCAGATTTCCTCTTGTGGAGTTATACCTGTAGGTATGTGCCCAAGCTCGATCATAATGGGATACCACAGCTTAAGCTCAGTGCGTTTGCCACTACCGACTGCACGTTAAGAGATATACACAGCTTGGATTTATGGAGATTGATAATCAAACTAGAGGCACTTGCAAAACTATTTAAACACTACATAACTATATCAATCTGTTGTTGGGATGCATGGGCAAAGAGTAAGAGATCATCAATAAAAAATAAATGAGAAATTTTTAGACCACTCTTTGAAATTTGGATAGGTTGCCACGCCTTAGTATTTACCTTATGTTGGACCGAGTAGGCTAGCTTTTCCATAACCATGAGAACCAAATACGAAGATAATAGATCTCCCTGCCTGAGTCCCCTTTGTGGAGAAAAAAATGGAAGAGGCTCCCCATTCCATAATACATAGAGCTGCACTGAGGTAATAAAAAACATAATCAACTCAATAAGCTTCTTAGGGAGGTTGAATCAACTAAAACTTGCCTTAGGAAAGACCAAACCACACTGTCAAAGGCTTTATGCAGGTCAATTTTCAACACCATGTTCCCTTTTTTGCCTTTCATTCGCTGCATAGTATGTATAACTTCCTAAGTGACTATAATGTTATCTGAAGTGCTTCTACTTGCTAGGAAGCTACTCTGGTGAGGGCCAATTAGTTGTTGTCATAATGGCCGAAGTCGATTAATAATTACCTTGGACAACACCTTATAAGCCACATTTAGGAGGCTAATTGGCGAAATTTTTGGATGGAGTCCAAATTCATTTCTTTCGGAATAAGAACCACTAGCACCTTTGACAACTCTATATCAAAGAAACCATCTCTAAGAGCTATGTTAACAAAATCAAGACAAGTGCCTTTTACAACCTTCTAGTGTCTTTAATAGAATAAAGGTTGTATGCCATCCAGACCTAGACTTTCAAGACCTTTCATAAAAAACAAATCCACTATAATCTCCTCTAAAGAAGTTGGTTGAAGTAGGGTGTGATGATCAGTAAAGTCAATGATGGGTTGGAGAAAAGTTGGCCAAGCCATATTACTGGGTCCCCTCTAAAAACTAATTGAATATAAAAGTTGCGGATATGTTGCTTTAAGACCTCAAGATTGTCTAACCATACACCATCAATTTTTAAGGCTCCTATTTGTTACTACTACACTTAGTAATAATAGACATATGGTAGAATGTTGTATTTCGATCACCCGAGGCAATCCAATCCACCCTTGACTTTTGGAACCAAAGCACTTCTTCCTTGAAAAGGGTCAGTTGATACTCTTACAATAAATGATTTTCCAGAAATTGTAAAGAAAAAGAGCATGCATAGGGTGGAGAAATCCTTGCCCTTAAAAGGCGTTTCCTTTGAAAGATGTCTCCAAAAGTCTCTTGCCCCCATGAAATACAAGCCAAGCTTGTATTCTCAATAGCTACCTTCATACCTAATGGGTACTGCCCCCAGGCTTGCGATAAGATTGTGAAAAACTCTTCCCTTATGAGCCGTACAGCTTTTAAACTACGTGGTTTATGTGGTGGGGGTTGAGATGTTGTATCAATATTTCATCAAATGGGATGGTGATCACTACAAGTCCTTAGCAAATTAATAAGCCTGGCCTTTTGAAACTGTACTTTTGCTTGGGCATTAAATAAGACCTTATCAAGCCTTTCTTGCAACATTACTCAAGCATGTTGAGTGCGACACCAAGTAAACTTACACCCTAAAGCAACTTCAAAAAGCATATTACAATTGTCTAAGATCTGTCGGAACCATGATGCTCTTTGAAAGGTTGTAGGATGCTTAGGAAAGAGCTCATCAACAGACATAATTTCATTGAAAGAAGAACCCAACTTACTGTATTCGTTAAACTTCTAAATTCAATATCATTCCAGAAAGCTTCTTTGAAATGTGCCTGAGATTTAACATACACTAGGGAAAGCAGGTAGTTCTTATCATTATAGTTAATGGACAATGAATTACTTGGGTGAAGGATGAAAGTACAAAGAGAAATTCTCGATGACTTCCAAGACAACCAAAGCCCCCCAGCAAAGGTAAAAGCTGGCACTTGAAATTGCTTATCATAGCCAAAGTGTGGCATAAAGCCCAAAGCACTTGAAGTGGAATTCACTCTAGTTTTCATGAAACAAATAACATCTGGTTTTTGAATCTTCAACATTTCCTTACATTCTCGACGAAAGGGTTGATACTGTACCCCTTATTATTCCAAGTGATGATCTTCATTAAGAACTAAGATTTGGATTGCTTCCAAAGGAAGCGATGATGGCTGGTGATGACGCACCCATATTTGTTTCTATTCACAGGATTATCATGGACAATTTTTGGTGAACATCTTGGTTTTTGGCTTGACCATTCTTTACTACCTTTTCCATAAGCCGTGGGCCACTCATAGCCACTATGACTGGCATTTGTGTAGTCTTATCTGTCTCAAGTCGTTTCTCTTTCCCACTTATAATTGCATTAGATGTCCCTACGACAAGAGAATCAGCTTTTTCATGTTGAGTCTTTTTTGGAACTTTGCGATGACTAAGGGCAACATAAGGCTTCGCTAGATAATGCTTAGTGATCTTATGGACTGGCCTAACACTGGATTTTTCTTTTTTCTTCTTGGATTACTTAGCGATTACAATGGCCCTCTATTCTAACAAGCCCATTTTACAATTTTAGGTGGAGTAGGTTTCTTCAACACCAGCTCCATTCTAAAGGTTTCCTGAGTTAGATTTTTAGAGTTTGAAATCTCCTCTCCTACCACATTATGTGGGGTTACCTCTATGACAAGATCCTTTCCCACTGAAGAAGATTCCATTTCCAAGTTAAAGATTGCTTCAAATCTATTACCTCTTGAATTACCGTTGAGTAAAGAGATTTGAATTTTAGGGATTTGATTTGATTGCCTTCGAGGTTTATCCCTTATAATCATCCAAGAACCATAAGGTTTGGCGGGAGTGGCGAAATTAGCAGATTTCACTAAAACTGGTTTCTGTGCAATTCCTGATGGCAAGTCACCAACCACGAGAGGTTGTTGATAAGGGTAGACCGTCTTCTTATGACCAAATTCACCACAATGGAAACACACATTATTCAGATCATATGCTACTGTCAAAAGCATGGGAGTTAGGTCTACTCCATGATAGAAATCTATCATCGAGACCAACTGTTCAGTTAAATCAACTTTTACACACACCTTTGCATATTGGCTGTGGGTGGCTAGTAAGGTAGTTTCATCTACCGAGATAGTACGACCAACTTTATTCCCCAACAAACCAAGAATTGGTTCCTCATAATACTCAGTTGGCAGTTTTGGAAAGTGTACCCATATAGCAATCTTTGGAGCCTTTGAACAAGAAGGACAAAAATTAGGTTGCCATGGTTGCACCACAAGTTAATGATAAAAAATCTTCCATGGTCCCCCCATAAGGACCTGATGTCTATCATCCATAGAGGTAAACTTCACAGTATAGCAACCCAAACCTAAGTCAATCATATCAATCTCACACTCCATTTTCCATAAGAGTTTCAATATGGAGCAAAGGAGTTTATAGTTAATTGTTTTTCCTAAGAGTTTGATGATGACTGTATTCGTCCAGTTCTATTTCAATCTGAGGGTTATCTCTGGGGAAAGTCTCACTAATGGGATTTTGGGGCTAGGATTTTGAGTGGTATCCTTTACCATATTTGCTTTCTAATTAAAGAGTTCTAGTTTCTCGTATGAGACCAGAGGATGATTGGCTTGAACAGATCCAGTGACTAGAGTATCCTTAAAGCTTTTAAGGGGCGATGGATTTTGCACTTCTACATTAGGGGAAGGCTCTAGTTGTGGAACAGAGGATGTCGGCAATGAAGGAGGGGCTGTGACTACTGGCAATGTAACATCCTTGACTCGATGAGTACTGTGTTCCAAGGAATCACATGCTTCCAAGGAGAGGGGGGTTGAAGGAAGGAGAAGCCTTTTTCACTCCAATTGCTAATAGGGCATATATTTTGCCTTCAATAACTTTCTATCAAGTTTATCTCAATGCTTACTCGCTAGATTAAAAAGGTTAAAACCCCATTTGGTCCCTCTATTCTAATATAAAATTGTTTGTTAGTCTCTTTATTTGAGAAAGTCTCTTTTTAGTTCCTAAAGTTTGTTGTTTGTTATTTGTTATATTTTGGAACACTTGACGTACATGACAAAAATTCTCAAGTAGAACAACCAAAATGGAACTAAAAATAGCCTCTCTCTTTTTTGTTCATTACTTAACTTAAAAAACTCTTTTTAATCCTTCTATTTTAAAATTTTTGTCATCTAACACGTTATATATGTAAAAAGATAATAGAAAAACTAAAAAAATATTAGATAATAAATTTTAAAGACTAAAAATGAGCTTTTTTAAGTAAAGAGACTAAATTTTTTTTTTATTAAAATAGCTAAACCAAAATGAGATTTTAACCAATTAAAAATATAGTCTCATCTTTCCTTCAACACCCTAAACTAAAACAAGTTTTAATATTGATAATTAAAAATATGAATTTATTTAATAATATTAAATTATTTTTTGTTCTTATTTCTTTAATAATGACTAGAATATATTGTAAAAATCTATAAAATTAAATGAATTTTTTATCTAAAATTACAAAATTTATAAAAACCAAAATTAAAAATTAAAAATTATAAAGATACTAAATTCAACCTTATGAGAAAGCAGACATTAAGTTACGGTGGATTTTCCTAGGTTCGTTGATGGGCAAAATTTTAAATATGATATTAAGGGAAAATTAGGAATCATGATTATGGGTTTCAAAGGTTTGGGTTGGCATATGTAGCTAAACCTTTTAGGAAATAAAAACTATTGGGCCTAAATGACACCAAAGACACCAAATGGGTAATTAAGACTTAATAGGGCAATTGTGTGTCATCAACTTTCTAACTGTTCAGACTCCAAAGATAAAATAAAAAGGTTTAAACCATTGTTTTAAGACTCGGCTCGATGGTAGACCCGTTTTAGTAGCTAGGTCTGGTTTAATCGGTTCAATCAGTTTAATTGACTGGTTCAATCAGTTTAATTGACTGGTTCAACCAGTCAACTTAAAAACAGTTTTTTGTTTAATGAATTCGCCATCACAAAAGCCAAATTTGAGTAGCCATTCAAAGTTCAAACCCAAATTTAGTCAATTTTATTCATACAAACCCAGATTGGATCTAATCACATCATCATCACTCTTTAGATCGCATCCAAACTCAGATCTATCCTGTTGGAAGAGTTTGATATCATATGGTTGGGCATATCTTTGATGGCGAGCTTGCAATCGGAGAAAAGGAGGTTTTGCACCTACTGGTGGTGATGGTTGATTTAGGTTTTGGTGGTGTGCTGAAGGTCGTAAGCTTCAATTTCAGGGTGGGCATGTTCAAAACTAGAGACGAAGAACTCACTTTCATTGAGGAAGATGGTGCGATTGTTGAGGTTAAGGGAGTGCTAGAGAAGTGATTTGATAAATAAGACTGAAGATGAATAGGTGGCAAGGGGAGGGGCTGCGATTAAGAGCAGAGAAAATGAGGGAGAGTTTGAAGAAGGTCATGAGGTGTTGGGTGAGCAATAGAGATTAGGCCAGAGATCAGGTTGCTTTGTTGCTTTTGTACGGCGAAAGAGATGAGGAGATGAGGCAGATGCAAAGGTGTGACCACGTGAACTTGCTTTGCTACTTTTGTTGTTCTGTTTGACGCGGTGGAGGAGTTGAGGATTGAGGAGGTGAGCCATTGATGGAGGTGGAGTGTCTGTGTCTGTTTCTTCTACTTTGTTTTTGCAGACTAGTTTTTGTTTTTCCCTTTTCCATTTTTAACCTTTTATTAGGGTTTTTTTAATTTAATCTTAGTTTAAGTTTAAAGTTTTTAATGTAATAATAATAAAAAGGTGGGATAAAATTGATAAATTACATTTAAAACTAAAAAAAAAAAAGGTGAATCAAAGAGATGATAGATTCAGCCCGACGAGTTAAACGGGTTAGGTGGTTGGAGCAGGTGGAGCGAGTTGTACAGGTTTGGGTGGGTCAACTCTCAAAACGAGCTGATGTATGTAACTGGCTCGTTTTTTAGTTCAGGTCTGGTTGAACCAGTTCAATTGACCAGTCCAAGTCAGGTCTTAAAACACTAGTTAAAACTTCATTTTGGTCCCTGAACTATTGCACAGACCCCTG